TAAAGTAAAATATAGAAATGATCATACCTATAAAATACATAAATATAAAAGGTAAACCAAATGACTCTCATAGAAGTATCCAGTGTTTAAAATGAAGACAAAACAGCGAGAATATCGCATACAAAGGCCCGCCTAAGCATGCGATATGTCTTGGAATAGTCGGGTAATAACCTCTTTTAGTTAATTGTGTAATAAATTTACTAGAAACATCAAAAAATAATCATGATCCGAGATCTTATGAAGTTAGGCATCATAGAAATCAGGCTTGCAAATCCCTAGCTTTAGAACAGTTGAATTTTGAAATTGAATTGAAATTACATTTATAAATAAAATTTAGTAAAATATTTCTGTAATTTATGATAATGGTAGCCGTGTTTGAGAAGCTTGAAAATATTCCGTTTGTTAAAATCGTTTTACATGGTAACAAGCCATAGCAGATCTTATCAACTGGGAATCATATATCGCGTAAGATGTTGCATTGGGTACATTTCCATCTTATCTTTACCAAAATCTTATCATAGATTTTAGTTTAACTTATATTGTCAGGAAAAAAACCGGATATTACTGCATTTTTGTACACGAGACAAAATTGAATATATACAGAAAGAACACGATTTTTGACTTTTTTTGATAAACAAATAAAATATATTCGATTGAACAAACTTGTTATAAAAACATCAGATACATGTTTAATAGGTACTTTCTGTAGTTAAAAGCTGTCCGTTTATTATTTATCATTTGGTTTCTGAACAGAACTTAATTCCGCTGAAAATTCTTCATGAAACAGTTCGTCAAAGAATTCACATTGATGTGTCAGGATCTGTTGTTTAGAGGTGTTGAATAATAAATATACACTTAAAAATGGGAATGTGACTCCAAAGAAGTAATTACACTAACGAACTGCCTTTTAATATCACTTCTTCAAACATTTAAAAAATGCCATTTTGTAAATTTAAATACCTATGTCACAGTGGCTTGAAATTCGCACCTTTGTATCTTTTTAATTTATTAAAATCACATTATTACTATTCAGATATGAAAATAAGTTTTCTAATCTAATGACTTCAAATATACACAATCCTTACTTATACATTTTCACCGTTTCGGTAGTATTTCTCTATTTTTTTTTCTTTCAAATAATAATCATGCTTCAGAAAAAAGCTTTAAAGACGTGAACTTCACATGATAGATTTTTTTAAAGAATGTGAATCATGGTCTTATTTCTAGTATTTGACCCTGAAAGTGTTCACTAGTTTTCATAATTCCGTCTTTTCTCTATATCAAAAAAATGACGAAACTTGACAACGTCTTTAAAATATTGACGGAAAATGACTGAGATGACGTTTGGCAAGGATGTGGTTCATTGATGTTGCTTAATTGACGACGATTTGTCAATTAATATGAAACACGAAATCCAGTAAAAACTTGAAAAACCGAACATGTGGTCTTGTCCAATGCAACCCGATAGGATAACAATATCTCCTGCCTTTAAACAATAAACAAGTGATGATGATCCTGACTGATATCCACCATTGAGATCAGTACCACTGTTCACTGCTAACTGGTCAACTCCGTTGACAGAAATTGAACATTGGCTTTGGCGAAAACCAGGGCTTCTGAAAAGAGTTACTGTGAAGAAGTAGAGTCCTGGATGTCTACAAGTGAACACACCTGAGGACACACTATAGTCGTTGCCTGAATTGAAGATCACGTGTCTGAACTTAAGGGCAGAACCAGATGACTTGTCTGGTTCTGACACTGCAAATCCGACTGACACGTCTGAAAAATGATATTAAAAATTATAAAGTCATTTTTACACAATTTCAAATGCTTTATCGTAGTTTGTGTGTAATGTGTTTTTGTGTTTTTGTTTTGTTCTTTTGTTGTTGTTGTTTTTTTTTTGTTTTTTTTAACTACCTCTTTGCTTTTTATTTGAGTGCAACCAAGCTAGTTACACACCCATTTATTTTATAGAAAGTGCCTGAAGTTTTTTTTTATAATATTGATGCAACTGATAGTAAAGATAATTCAGAGCTAATGTATGTAATTGTTTAAGTAAGAATATTAATTGATACATATAAAGAGCAGTGTACTTACTTGTTTCATTAAATCTGTTCGTAAAATTTTGGAGAAATTCTGTCTGCATCTGGCCTTGTGCGTGTTCAAGTTTATCAATTTTTTTGCTTAGAGTTGTCACCAGTTTCTGCAGTTGAAGCCTTGATCTTTGCTCGTTTACAATCAAGTTAAACATATTTTGAATTACTTGATCAGTTGCTTGATGATTTGATGAAGTTGCGTTCCCATTTTCAACTAGAAACCCTGATACAACTCCAAGAAATAGAAACACAAAAAGTACCACAAATTTCATTGTTAAGAAAACAGTTGTGTGTCAGTCAGCTTAAATACGTTTATAATAGTCAACATATTAAACTATATCAAACCATCATGTATGTTTTAAATGGGTAAGATTTATAAAACATTGGGAACCAAATTATTTAGACCACATAAATAAGTCATCTTTTTGAACTTAATAAATTTCGTCCATGTTTTCGCTGATAAAGATAAAATGTTTCACAAAAGTAAACAAAAAAATAAATGTACTCAACCTGTCCTGGTTCCAAAAGTATTTAATCTAAGCGTTTTATCACAAATTGTACATAAGTGATAAATCTCTAGGTGTGTTAAGAGAAATACCTTAGAAAGCTAGCTGAGAATATTTCAAAATAATGTATCAATGTTTATATGTATAAAAGTTATGGTTGTCAAACACTATTTTCTAAACGTTTTACTACATAATTATATAATTATAACAACCGGAGTAATAGGCTAGGAGCCATAGGCCAGATTTTGTAATTCATTTGTACATCTGACATTTTTATAACTATTTAGAATACTTTTGTAAATTGCTAACTTAAATCGTGCCAGAAATAAAAGATGACATATTGAACAAAAACTTATTTTGTTCCTGTTTGATGAACAGATATATCCTATATAAGATATTAAATACCATGTTAATTGATTTAACAATAATTAATGAGAATGTATAAATTAACGAATAAATGTCACGCTATTAATGTCAACTTTTGAAACATTCTAATACTAGTGACATTTTAGGGACAAAGTGGTTAGTGTAGCAAATATTGAAATCGCACGTTTCTGACCCCTTAGAAATTTTGTATAATTCTTTCATGCCAAGTGATTCAGCTAGCTTACAGAAAGTCAGTGGTTCTAGTCAAATTCCATCAACGAATGTTATAATACATAGAGGGAAACTTCCTTCTCCTTCAAATCGGAGAAGTCTACATACATGTATATTATATCCAATATCAATATAAAGTAAAAATAAATACATAAACATAATACTCGAAAGATTAAACATTTTCATTTCAATTGTGTGACAATTTTACATTTTGAAAAAAGGTGACAGGGTTTAAAGAATAAATTTATAGGCTTGAAAGGGCGCAAACAGCATCTTTTAACGTATCCCGTCATTTCTGTTTATTTGAATTTAAATTGGACTATTCAAACGTTTCGTGTACTTCAGTTAAAGGATGGGAGAGATGGCTTTTAATCTAATATTGCTACAAAAAATAAGGTTTCTGAATGAACATTTTATCAATATTTACTTCTAATTTAACTTATTAAAATATCTTTTGACTATTTTACTCCCAAGCATATATGTTTAAATATTTTATCTACCTTAATATATACATCATTATTATCAATGTTCCTTATACTTGGATCTACTTTAGAAAAATATTTTTTGAATGTGATTGATTGCTATAACGTGGTAATAGGATATAAAATATATAAACATCTAGACAACAACAGCGTCTGATCTTTATTTTCTGAAAAATGAATCGTGCTTAAATATAATTTAAATTGTTTAACCACATGAAGTAGTTATATCGGGCATTTTAATATGCAAACAATTAAACTCTAGGAACATATTCAGCTGTAGAAGCTAGAAGGGGAAGTAATTTGTTATTGATTTACTATTTGAAATATGAACATATTTATCTTTCCATGTTCAAACGTCAAAAATCATAAAGATTTGTTAATTACTATGTTTGTGGGATTAAACTGATATATGTTTTTTGTAGTATAATTTGTTGCACAAAGTATGCTTATATCCATATAAAATTGTTTAAACGTATTAGAAAAAATCAAATATTAGGTTAACCACATTGTTAGTCAATTTTTTTATTTTTTTTTTGTACAAAATAGAAATCTTTAAAAAAATATATAAAAAAGTGTCTTTTTGCTTTTTTCTCTTATATGGTTTTTAGGTCTATGCACAGAATACAAAAAGTTACTCAATTTCTTAAAGTGTATTTACTTTTCAATTAACACTATGTTTGTATTGTATAAAAATGTTCTGAAGGTTTTATACTTACTCAAAGTGGGTGCGATAAATTTATCCGATTACATATTATCCGAGAGTTGTAATACAAACTAGGTAGGTATATTGTTTTGCTTTTTGTTAATTTTTATATGAATTCCTATGCAAATATTCACTGATAAAAGTATTTTATTGTATTAAGGTTGTTTTTTTCCTTCATGTCTAGAGGGTGCACTAAAATATCAATAAATGCAGATACAATCATTTGTGAACATTCAGTTATTAAATTTGTTTGCATGATATAAATTGTTTTAATACTCTTAATACAAATTGTTAATTGCACAGAAAGAAGACTTTATATACGTCAACGAAACATACATTAGATAAGATCATGCATGTACATGAGTGAAATGTTGTCTATTTATGAATACAAATTATTCCTGCACAATTAAGTCTTGCTTAAGGCTTGTAACAGTACGATTCAAAATTATATTTACTTTCATATCATTGTAATCAAATATAATTGAATAAGCACTGTCCATTTTTTATAACTTATGTAGACATGATATTTTCAAAATATACAAAAATTAAGGCCACTGATACATCATATAATCTATGTGTGGAGAAATAGCTATCGATGATATCGCTTGACCCACATAACGTTGCTTATGATTTGAAATATATACTAAATGTATTCATGCTTTATTTTCCCCGTTAAACAAAAGAGAATTGATGACCATAGATCACTCACCTAAAGTCTATTGATGGAAAAGGGCTATAATTCTTCAATACTAAAGTACATTTACATCATATACTGAGTATTTTTTATTCTCACCAAACACAGTCATGATTTATGAACTCTTTGAAAAGAAACATGCCCAATAACTAGGCTCTCAGAACTTTTTCACACAACAAGACTCATATTTTACTACTATTTTCCAATAAGAATCCATGTAAACTAAGTGATTTTGGCCCTATGACAATAGTTCATAATTTGTACATACATGTAGCATCACAAAGTGATGATTACAGAATTTCTTCTGCTGTGTGCACTGTAGTTTTGGAGAAGAATTTTTTAATAAATAAGCCAATGTTAACTCTGGAATATCCTAGGTTAAGCCATTTTGTACTGCATGAGCATGATTTTTTGGCCCGTCACAAGGGGCACATTTTTTTTAAAAACTTGTGAAAGGAATAACATTGAAGTCCTTCTTTTGATAAGTACAATGCCTAGAGCTTAGTTAATCAACATATAACCTTGCCAAGTAGAGTAGACCTCTTTTAAAGTTACATAAAACGCTTTTGGGTCATTTAGTGTATATGCAAAATAGTTAATAAAATCTTCTCAAAAAGCAAAATGCACAGAGCACAGGTACTAAGCATGTGGCATCACCTTGTGTCTTTATTTACATATTTGAAATATGCTCATAGAGCCACCTGGGTTTATAGACTTGTATAGGAAAACACATTAAAAACTTCTAGTGTTAAACTTTAATGACTAGAACTAAAATATTTGGGATGTAGCATATAACATGCATAAAATTGTATTTTTTTTCTGTAGTCTAAATGGCTTTGCAATTGGTATCACTTAATTTACACATACTACTGTAATAAATCTGTTTTCTCTAAACCTACAGTACCCAAATCATAGACATTAATCATGTATCATCATAATTTTGTTATATTCTACAAATATTTGATAAATAATGGACCAGATGGTCAAAATTTACCAAACACCAGGGGTCTCTTAGTTTATATGGATTCATGTATTAATATGGTTATCTAAGTACTCTCGTGTGAAACATTTTTTAGAAACTAGATATTGGACATGTTTCTTTTAAAAACATCTTAGTTTATGCCATTTTGTACTGCATGAACATGATATTTTGGCCCGTCACAAGGGGCACAGTTTTTTAAAGACTTGTGAAAGGAATAACATTGAAGTCCTTCTTTTGATAACTACAATGCCTGGAGCTTAGTTAATCAACATATAACCGATACAAATACGACAACCGGATACAAATATTTCACATATCATGTGTGTTATGACATAATTGACACGCCCAATATGATCATATTACATACACCTTTATAGAGTGAGTGATCCAAGGTCATCATTAATGAAAGAAAAAAATGAGATATGATTACTTAAGGAAATACACTTAGTTTATATTTTAACTTATTAACTTCTCTGAAAACTACATGCAGGCTAGGCGATATCATTGACATCTCTATTTCACTTCACATAGACAAGGTGATGTGGTAGCCATATATTTTTACTATGAATGTTCAGATATTGAATAAAAATCGTTATCTCATTTTGTTGGCGTTTAAGCCATGTTGATATTATAAATATAAAATTGTGGAGGAGTTAATTAACTACCTTTTTACCTTACATTCATGTTCATGTTTGCTATTTAAAGCACATTTAGTTGATTTAATATCGTCTTATACAATCTATATCTTTTACAATTAACAATATAATATCAAAGATATTGAAACAAGAAATATAATGCAGCCAAATTAAATAACTTAATGTATACATGTGCATTATATATATGTGCATTTCTTATTAATACATTTGACCCGAAGAAAGACAAAAATACCTTCACCCAATATAAAGTATTTTTATAGATGGAACATTTGCATAAGAATTCAAAAGTGAAAAAAGTGAAGAAAAAGTATGAACGTACCTATGTATAATTTTTGTTGTTTTTCTATTACAATTGTCGGATAAAATTACCCCCCTCCACTTTCACAAAATATAATATCTACAAGTTTTTCTTACATCTTTGTAATAAACACATGAACCGATTCAATGCCAACTACAGTTTAAGAAAGAAAGTAACTTTTTTTTGTACATAAATTTAGAAAACGAAATTTGAGAATTATGCAAAAAATCTTGATATTTTTCAAGATATTTTTTAGACAAACGCTTTCAAAATGTTTACTTTTATTAAGATTAACATAGAATTTGATTATCTCTGATATGTATCATAATAAACATAATGTGTGCGTCTAATTATACTATAAAAACTATATAACAGTTTTGCACAAAATCGGCGGTCATATTGGACGCAACCTTGGATTCTGAAGAGATATGAAGGCGAAATATTTTAAGAATTATTTTTTTTAAAGGAGAAACTCTATACATGACTAGGTGTAAGTTTTAGGTCTGTACAAAAAAAATTGAATGTATGAGCTATTATGCACGTAAAATATATTTGGGGGCCATTTTGAAAATGGCTGCCGTCTTGAATGAGCAGAGATATTTTTGGCCCACTTCACTTTTGTAATCAACATGGTCATAAGATAATTTTTAAATCATAAAGTTTTATGCTTGTATCACCATTTGCACTATTTTCTCAATTTCCCGACCCACAATATCCAGTTTGACATCATTCCCTTATCAACTCATTTTGATGAAACTATACAGGAAATATCCTGGAATGTACCATTTATCAAACTGAAGACATCTGTAATTTTTAGTATATTTGATGGACTCTACAGAACCTGGAGCATTTTGTCTTTGTAAGAAATAATGACTTTAAAACAGAAATCTACATAACAATATTTGACAATCATGTCAACATCACTTGGTTTAAGATTTTGGTACGTTAATATTATTTTCAATAACATAATTCAACATAATCAATTGTGCGTTCAGAAAAAAACATTTACAATTTATGTTATCTATTTTCAGACTTTAACAAGGAGGATGAAAACGTTAAAGTGTATCATTAGATGATCTACGACGTAAATATAGCTGCAATCACATTGTCAACAGACCTATTTAAAATATTCACTGGCTGAACTGGATTTCCCCAGTCTAAAAATAGATTGAGATTCATATTCAGTGACCCCATACATCGTAAACTGTTAATTACACGTGCACATTAAAACTATTCTTTATGTCATATTTCTCGATTAAAATATCATAACTTTACTATAAAAGTTAGTAGTTGCATCGCAATACTGTGTATAAACTTGAGTTACTTTTGTTTGCGCAGCGTTCCCGTAAACGTTGAACGCCTGACGTCATCTTGTTAACAGTGCGACTTTTTTCCCGTGCTTCAAAAGAACCTGGCCAACGTTGTGTTTTGTATTTCCTTAAAACGCTTTAGTTTTTTAATATTTGCCTATTCATATAAAACAACAATTATTTCTAGTGAGCAATTGTATATGATGTGATATTCACCGGCAGAAAATCATATTGACTTAATACAATTCTTAACTGAGCACAGGAGTAATATTTCCATTTTTACAAAAAAATATACGTGTTTTAGTAATATTATAGTAGTATCGTACCGAATGTGTAACTAGCAATAAAGTTGTCTATACATACGTTAATAGACACCGATAGCTAACTTTATATAATATGTTAGATTTCGCACGGGAGTTAATTAATGTGGTTTTGTCCATATTGTATATTTCGAGTCATAAAACGCTCAGTGCACTATATTCAACAATGTTTTGGCTAATTATAAGATATTTTCATAACTAAATATAACTAATAATCTATTTAATTAGAACTGTACAGTTGACCAGAAACATCCATATAAAGTTTGCTATCTTTTCAACAATGTTTGGCTTAATTATAATATATTTTCATAACTAAATATAACTAATCATCTATTAAATTAGAACTGTACGGTTGACCAGAAACATCCATGTAAACACTATTAGGCTTATAATAAATAACATCTTATTAACAACATCAAACTATAAACATACATATACAAACTAACACAGTCTGGTTGACCAAAGCAACCATATAAACACTAACAGGCATATAATAAATAGCACGTTCAATATTTCAAGACAATTTTACACTAATCCGTAATATTAATAATCGAATTTCTTATAGACATTGCGTTTTTACAGTATAACCCTAATTTATAAAGAGCAGTCTTATTTTCTGTTTGTAACGATTCTAAGAACTTATATACACTTGGTTTCATATAATAATATTTTGCTATAAATTCTTTACGTAAATCTGAATAGATAGGGCATATAACAACAAATGTATACTATTAACTGTGAAATATGTGAAATGTGATAGCAAAACAAATTAATAATAGTTTCTAGATAATTATTATTAAACATATTTTGATGCCCGATTACATTGTACAAAATCTAACGGGTTTTTTTCACTCCATCCTCTTCTTATTTGATGTAAAATGACAGGTACCTGTCTCAATAAACAAAAAAAAAATATTTCCATATAGATTTTACTTATCTCATTCATTTCAAGTTATTAAAAATTACATGTATAGTTCTGTATAATCACTTTTCAAATAAGGAAAATATGAAATAAGTGGAACTTTTCTACAGAAAATGAAAACAAAATTGCTGCTGTTGTTGTTGTTGTTGTTGTTGTTGTTTTTTTTTAGTATTTATGTAAATCTGAATAATAAAGTTTAATAATATACAGTTTTAAACGCCTTTTGAAAAAGTGTAAATTAATCTTATAAAGCTTATACTTTTATGTTATTAACTGACTGGTCAATTAATATGAAACACGAAATCCAGTGAAAGAAGAAAGAAAGTACATGTGGTCTATTCCACGGCAATGTGATAGCTCAACAATATCTCCTGTATTTAAACGATAAACAAGTGATGCTGATCCTGACTGAAATCCATCATTGACACCATTACCACTGTACACTGTTAACTTGTTAATGCTGTTGACATAAAAACCACATGCGCTTTCACGAGCACCCGGGCTTCTGTGCATAGTTGATGTGAAAAAGTAGAGTCCTGGATGTCTACAAGTGAACACACCTGAGGACACATTATAGTCGTCGCCTGTATTGTATATTACGTATTTGAACGTAAGGGGAGAACCGGAGGAGTTTTTATCTGGGTTTCTTACAGCAAATCCGACCGACACGTCTGAAAAATTATATTAAAAATTATAACAAGTCATTTTTACACAGTATCATTTTTGTTGTTGTTGTTGTTTCTTCTTTTTTAATGTAAAAGTTCACCCTTATGTTCCCAAAATATTGTCTGCCATACAAGATCAAAAAAAATCTGATAACTACCTCTTTCCTTTTTGTTTGAGAGCATACGTGCTAGTTGTACACCCATTTATTTTATAGAAAGTGCTTGAAGTGGTTTTTATAATATTGATGCAACTGATACTTAAGATAATTTAGAGCTAATTTAGGTAATTTCTAAAGTTAGAATATTAATTGATACATATAAAGAGTAGTGTACTTACTTGCTTCGTTTAATCTGTTCGTATTTTGGAGAACTTCTGTCTGAATCTGTCCGTGTGCGTGTTCAATCTTGTCAATTTTTTGGCTTAGAGTTGTCACCAGTTTCTGCAGAACCTCTCCTAAATAGTAAACGTCTTACAAAAGTAATAAAAAAATCAAAGTAGTCAATCTGTTCTGGTTCCAAAAGTATTTAATCTCAAGATGTGTAAAGTTGGTGGCCTAGCGGCCCAGCGGAGTGAAGTTGACGGCCCAGTGGCCTAGCGCTATGAAGTTGGCGGCCTAGCGGTGCAGTGGCCTGACGGCCAAAATTTGAATGTTTTTGAAATGTTAAATAAACAAGAAAACGGCATTTAATTGATACATATAAAGAGCAGTCTACTTACCTGTTTCACTTAATCTGTTTTTTAAATTTTGGAGAAATTCTGACTGAATCTGTCCCTGTGCTTGTTCAAGCTCATCGAGTTTTTGACTTTGCGTTGTCACCAGTTTCTGCAGCTCCGCTGATAAAGAGTAAACGGTTTACAAAACTAATAAAAGATCAATGTAATGAGCCTGTCCTGGTTCCAAAAGTTTTTAATCTAAAGATGTGTGAAGTTGGTGGCCTAGCGGCTCAGTGACCAAGCGACGTGAAGTTGGCGGCCTAGCGGTGTGAAGTTGGTGGCCTAGCGGTCCAGCGGCCTGACGGCCGAAAATTTGAATGTTTTTGAAATGTTATATAAACAAGAAAACGACATTTCATTGATACATATAAAGAGCAGTGTACTTACTTGTTTCATTTAATCTGTTCGTATTTTGGAGAATTTCTGTCTGAATCTGTCCCTGTGCGTGTTCAAGCTTATCAATTTTTTGGCTTAGAGTTGTCACCAGTTTCTGCAGATCCGCTGATAAAGAGTAAATTGTTTACAAACGTAATAAAAAGCAATGTAGTTAACCTGTTCTGGTTTCAAAAGTATCTAATTTAAGCGTTTTATCATAAAGTCTACAATAGTGATAAATCTCTAGATGAGTTAACAGAAATATCGGAGAAAGCTAGTTGAGAATATTTCAAAATAATGTATCAATTTATATTTAACTTCGGAACACTTCGCCTATCATTCCTAATTTGAGCTTATCCAGAGACTGACGGAAATTGCCGATATGTTTCTATTATTCGCAGATACAATTCGACCAATCAAATGTTCTTACTTTTGAAAAATTTTAACAAATCATCAGCTGCAAAAAGACATCTCGCAGGGTTCTTTTTAAAGACGCAAACTTGTTATGCTCATTATCAGTATTATGACGTTCTACAAACGTCGTTACATTACTTTCCCCTACGAGATGTTTCGTGCCGAGAATTGGCATGAGAAATAATTTGGTACGGCAACTCCAGTCCGGAAGTTGTCTACATCATCCCACCGCTACAACCAAATGTATCGGTTAAAGGCACAAAAACCCTGTCTGTTGAAACCTAGCTCACCACCAAGAGTGGTTTGTGTCCTTATATATTGGAAACGTTCCCTTATGTAAATTTACCAACTTTAGTTTTTGCATATTATTATGCTCATTATCAGTATTATGACGTTCTACCAATGTCGTTACAAATGTAGCAAAATGTAGGCAAAGTAATATTTTGACTTCCATACAAAATACTTATTCTACAAATTGCCAATTGAGCAAAAGTTGCAGTCACGAGTTCATGAATATGGCTATTAAGATTTTTTTTTAAAAAAACTGTGATAAGTTACAAAAAAAAAGTTTTTGTAAAAATTGATAGCGTTTCTGAGGCATAGTGGGCCTTTAAGTATTTATATAAAACATATAACGTATGAATATGACGGCAGGAATGTTTTTTCACAAATTGGACATGATGATGAGGATGAAAATTTATCCGTTAAAATAGAGCATCGTGATATATGCAACCCCCCCCCCTTTGTTGGGAGCTATATCCATTGCAATTCTGGCCAGGTGCCGAAGAATAAAACTCTTTGTAATTATTTGTAATTATTTATTAGTTTAGATCTATATGTGGCATAACATAGCTTATATAATCCGATTTCTTGACCATTTATATTTATTTAACGCCAATGTTTCACATGAAATTATCAATTTATTTATCATATTCACACAATTGAATAATCATTTTTACAGTTAGAAAACATTGCATAAGGCGACTTACCAGAGCACTCTCTGTTTTGACACTGAATTGTTTCTGTACCATTACCGTTACAGCCAAAGCCATTATCTTTCGGCGAAACGCTTGTGCATGTTCGCATCCTCCATTTGGATCCTTGTCCACATTTGGCGTTACAAGGCGACCACTCTGACCAGTTTGTCCAAATACCAGTTACCGTTGCCCCTTCAAAAATTAAATCCATAACTTTTGCTTGCGTAACATAATTTTAATAATGTTGTTCTTAAAAGCGAATTAACTGTCTCTTGAGGGGCTTCCATTGTCGAATGGTTAAGATTGTTGACTTCAAATCACTTGCCCGTGCTGCTGCTCATTTACATGAATTAGTTTGTGTAAATGCGGTTTTAATTATACATTGTATTTTGTTTTTATCCAGATAACATTAATATAATAGAATAAATCAGTCAAAGAAATCAGAATCATTTGATAAATTATATTTATAGCTGTCTCAGCAAAAAAATTTTCTGAAGTTTCAAAAACGGATACGTCAAATATCGGTAAATTGAGTAAATATTCCGTCCAAATTTTCAAAACATCCAAAAGTAAACAATAAGTACGTATATAATTTCCTGGGTCCCAATTTTAAACATATACAAACAAAAAGTAAAAAAACAATAAGATATTTCGTCTAGTTCGGGTGTAATATCGGAATATATTTCCTGAGTGTTTTTTTTATTGAAATTAAGTTCCATGAAAAACGAAACTAAACTAAATAAAGATTTCTTTCTTATATGTTTAATGCAAAGAATTGTTTTAAAAAGACATTAAACCTAATACTGAATGAAAAGCGCGCCAAATAATAATACAACTTGACGTCATGAACGACGTCACGTCATTAAGTTGGTACCCAGTTCTGTGCACGCTGGTATTTCACTGAAACGACGTAAGGGGCTTAAATTGAAAACAGTGAAATTATCAAAGTGGTAATTTCACTGTTTCAAACAGTCAAATTTACCAATTTTATATCACTGATATATTTCTATAAACCACCGAAAAGCATGTAATAAGATAGCTGTTATCATACAACAGACTTGCAGCAAGCTCGTAAATAAAAATCTTTAGTACTGACCTTTAATATTTGAAGCCTTTGAAACGTTTATACTCATGTATAAAGAAACAGATACTGCAATAATAAACAGTCCAATTAAAATTGAATTTACGAGGGTACACCATAACAAAAGTGGGTATACACTTCTTGGCTGAAGGTGTAGTTTTATCTGCAAGCTCCCCTGTACCATGTTGAAGAGTTTCGTAAATGCTGTCTTGTTCAGTCCTATTATCTCCCGACGCAAGCTCAGTATAAATTTCTTTTTTTGTGTCTGAATCCTCGTAATGATTGTTAAACTCCATAACTACATCCAAATTATCAAAATATTCCCGGTTTTTATTAGAATTAAATCAAATCAAATTTATTCAATCATTACTCCATACAGGATACATTTAAAATGTCATGAAAGCATACTTAGGTTTGCATCCGTTTTAACATCCTAGTGAAAGTTCATGAATAATAAGGACTTGGTTATGAATTTAAGGCAGCTGAGATAGAGTTATTGAAGTATACAGTTCTACCTCCGATTTTTGGGAAAAAGAAACATGTTGGGTTTTTTTGTCGTTGTTGTTGTTGTTTTTAAGATTCTTTTTTCTAACACTCAAACTTGTTGCATTAGTTTGTAAAAACGTCAATATGTTAACTAAATATAAAACAAAAGAGTGGAGATATATCTGGCTTTGACTTTCATTTAAGAAAAGTACTGTATACATTTATATATTTTTTCTATATTTTACATTCGGTAATTAACTGTAATTTAAAGATGAGATAAATATCCAACTGAAATATGAAGCAATAAGTATATTTTATACATATCAACTATTAGTTGTCCATCAACTATAAGTGGCTCATCAACTGTAAATGGTCCGTCAACTATAAATGGTCCATCAACTATAAATGGTTCATCAACTATAAATGGTTCATCAACTATAAATGGTCCATCAACTATAAATGGTTCATCAATTATAAATGGTCGGTCAACTATAAATGGTTCATCAACTATAAATGGTCCGTCAACTATAAGTGGTCCATAAACGATAAATGGTCCACCAACTATAATTTGTCAATCATTTATAAGTGGTCCATCAACTATAAATGGTTCATCAACTATAAATGATCCATCAACTATAAGCGGTCCATCAACTATAAGTGGTCCATCAACTATAAATGGTTCATCAACTATAAATGGTACATCAAAGATAAGTGATCCATCAACTATAAATGGTCCATCAAATGGTTCATCAACTATAAGTGGTCCATCAACTATAAGTAGTCCATCAACTAAAAGTGGTTCATTAACTATAAGTGGTCCAGCAATTATAAATGGTCCATTAACTATAAAAGGTCCATCAACTATAAGTGATCCATCAACTATAAGTGGTTCATCAAATGGTCCATCAACTATAAGTGGTTCAGCAACTATAAATTGTCCATCAACTATATATTGTCCATCACTTATAAGTTGTCCATCAACAATAAGTTGTCCATCAACTATAAGTTGTGGATTTTGAGAATCTTAACATGATATACCATTACTAGCAAATACAATGAAATGAAAATTCTGTAATGAAAAAGGTCAATAAAACAGATCTACTGCATATTCTATTTATTGTATGCTATAATGTATTTATTAGCAGAAAATATAAGATGTATTTATGTATTTGAAATTTTATTATTTGTTTATCTTCTGTCACCATATATAACGAAACTAGCACATTTATTTTATTGAAATAAGTGGTCAATTAGAATTTTTTTTTTTGCAGATACGAATATTATTACTTTAATATTATTAATCATCACAGCCAGGTAAATCTACGTGAAAAAGCTTTTTTAAAATGCCCCTATCCGGTAGGTGCGGTCATATCCGCGGATATGAGTCATATCTGGCATTACGTCATACCGTAAACAATCCAAACCGTATCAAAATTGACTATTATTCTTGTAGCATGTATGTCTCAGGTATTTCGTTTCCACCGGTATTCAAATTAAAGTAAATGTAAGTTTTCAACTGGAGTCTCATTTGTCTTACTTTCAGAAATTGAAATATACGAAGGGCGTTCAATATATTCGTAGACTTATGTCCTCATTTCAGAAATAATTTTAATTAAAATGGTATCAATTGAGAGCGTTGTTATTCCTTTCAAATTTATAATGAAAATTCAAATTGAAAATTACCCAACTTTAAGACTGACAGCCAGTTTCATAACCATGGTAACAGAGATGTATTTAATGTAACGGACGCTACTTTGAGAAGTTATAGCGGATGCACGACACGACAAAAAATCGAAGTAACGTCCGGTGTCGTCGCTGACATAGGGAAACACCATCGTGACCTGGGATGCTGACATTGCCTTATGCGCCGTTTGTCATACGCGGTTGAAATTTCATGTTCAAGTGTATAATTAATTGCTGTTTTCCGGTCATGTGATTTTTATGAATTATGTTTGCCTAACAAAAATGTTATAAGCACAGTCTTACGAATATAATGAACGCCCCTCGTAATTCAATAATTTGTTCTCTACATATCGTTATTCTATGTATAAGTAATCAGTTTTAACTGGCACATGCATTTAACTTATATTTTGTTGGGTTATAAAATAACAATCATTAACATGGTGATAGTATATCTAGCTTTACTTGTAGATTGTGACAGGTGCACCTCCATGTCTTATTTTAGGACACAGCAACATCTTCGCTAGCTAGATAATTTCCTGGTTTGAAAGAATTCCAAATCTCTAACAGGATTTTGCAAAAAAAACTGCAGTATTTGGTAATCTCGAACTGTTGTGATATTTCTTGTTGTTGTTGTTGTTTGTTGTTGTGTCAATTTCGTTTTCAATCAATATCTTATATTAAATCGGTTTAGGTGGCTACTATTTAAATCAAATGCCTACTATTTAAATAAAATGCCTAATATTTAAATTCAACTGTTAATGCACTACTTGAGAAAATGTTTTGTGACAGTTAAGGTGTGCGTACATGTGTTGTTTACTTCATACGACCTTTTAGTCTTCCCAGACGGCTGTGGATCTGGACCATCACTTACAGGAAGCCAGCTCTGGCCATTAAAACCGATTTGTTACTTTACCTGCCTGATGCATAAAGTCAAGGACCAAATATTTATTGTTCTAAATGTACTAAGAAAATCTGGGAAGTTAATTAAAACGGAAGTTAAATTATTGTTAAACGATATACAATGTAATTTACTTTCATCAAGTAATAGTTCGTAATTGCTAGTAACGGAAATTAAACACGACTTGAAGAGAAATGTCAATTGAGACACTTGACTTTGCTTTGTTAACTACCAAAAGTGGAAGTCGCATTGATCTGGCTTAAAATATATTTAATTTTGTTATTCGTGTAATATTATATCCATATTTTAAATTAAGAATTAAAATAGATTTTAAAAATTAAAATAGATTTTTTTTTATTTTTTTGTTATATTGTTACAATATAACAAAAAATTATATTTTATTTTCTTTAGTATATGGATATTATATTACATGAATAACAAAATTAAACATATTTTAGGTCAAATAAATGCGACTACCACCTTTGTTTACTTCGTGATACATAATTAAAATCATGCAAATTAGAAAACTCGTTTTTACTTAAGTTCAACATCGCACCCTATAGTAGGCGTATCTAAGTCAATAACAGTAACGGACGTTAATTAACAATCGTAGGATACTACGTCATGGCTATAGTACTTGAGATAATTGTAAATACATGTAACTAGGTTTCTGTTCCGGTACGTTAAAAATAATATTCATTTAGGTTTAAACCTTTTATTTTTTAGTTTTGGGAGCATTCAGAGATAAACACTTATCCCTTTTTCAAGCCTAAACAAGGCAACAAATATATTAACTTTTTTTACAATTATCTCAAGTACTATAGCCATTCTTCGGTCCGCTACATATGTTTTGATACTCTTACGTTTTCTTATCTATAATAAAATTGTATTTTACCTTCGAGTCGACGGATTTTCTGCAGAAAATGGTCCGAGTGGGAGCATTCAGCAGGTGCGCGATGACGTAGTATCCTACCATTGATTAATACTGTTTTGCAACACAAACTTATCTAACTGGGATACTTGATTGAAGTTTTATCCCAAAACAAATGAAGGAAAAGCATATTTAAGATGAAAAGAAAATCTGATATATTAAGAAATGAGAGGTTATTACCAGACTGAAATGAGTGACTGTCACTGGCGACAGGTTAAAAAACAAAGCCCCTATCTAAAATGACATTTTCCGCCCTTTTTTCCCGGAACTTAATTCGTTTTTACGAAATAATAATTCGTTTTTACAAAATATAAATTCGTAATTACGAAATATTAATTCGTTTTTACGAAATACATATTTGTTATTACGAAATATTAATTCGTTTTAACGAAATATTAATTCGTGATTACGAAATATTAATTCGTTTTTACGAAATACTAAGAGGATATTTTTTCGTTTTTCGTGAAATATGAAATATATTTTCACGAAACATGATAAAATGCCACATATTTTCACGAGCCGGTACGGCGAGTGAAAATATGTGGCATTTTATCATGTTTCGTGAAAATACGAGGGGTGTCCCAGAATTACGTGGACTTTTGCTGTAACTCAAAAACTACTGAAAATAAAAACAAACAAAATTAACATGAACAATTTGCAACTTTATTGCATTAGTACAAAAATTTTCAAAGTTGTCCGGCAACTGGATCAGTGTCCGTGGGCAGGGTAATGAGCAATCTCCACACAGTGATCTCCCCTTAATTCTTCGGCGTAGATCTCTGCCACCAAGGTCCCAATATATCAGAATTTCTGATATACTATATTTTTTCAAAAATTGTTTTATCTACTGCTTTTATCTATCAGATAAGTTTTCTCTCATTTATTTAACAATGTTTATGAATAAATAAATAAATAATATGAATATTTAGAAATAATTTTAAAAATTATGAGATTATTTTCTACCTAGACGATATTTTGATATTTTATATTTTTTAGCTTTTGAATTTATTTTTCGTTATTTTGTATACTTTCGATAATTTTTTAATAAACTATATGGAACGTAGGCACTAAAAGTAAAAAATAAAACAGAAAGAGAAAAATAACGTTAGATTTTCTTTGTAACGGTCGATATTTACATTTGAATTTCGACGTTACGTCATGTGACTTTCATCATCATGTGACGTCTTTGAAGGCAGTGATTACAATTCTGCCAAGGGAGGTAATCACTGTGAGGAGTTTGGGTAATGAGACAAGGGGTAGCGGGTGCGGGGCAGTCCATTCTGACGTTACGACGTCATTCCGGTGGCGTCGCTAGTTGTTAATAAATGCGCGGCGTCGAATGTCAGTTTTTCTCAACATAGTCGCCGCCTAACTCAATACACCTATGGTGTCGATATATCCACTGGTCGTACACTGTAATGATAATAATAATAATAATAATAATAATAATAATAAAGCATACTATTAACTTTTGTTACGATAGTGTTAAAGACGACGGTGATAATGCTAACGCCGTATTATTATTATTATTTATCATTATTATTTTTATTATTATTATTATTATTATTATTATTATTATTATTATTATTATTATTATTATTATTATTATTATTATTATTATTATTATTATTATTGTGGAGTTTATTTTGTACGCAAAGACAATGTGCGTTAACAAGGGAAATAACTTATCATGTGCACTGCTTACTTTAGCAGTTTGAGTTCACTTTCTTAAAAGCTGAAGCGGATAAATTGCGTTTAAAATAATAAATTGTAATTAGCTTAATTTTTAAAAATCATTTTTTTTAAACACAAAATTATTGCTTACCCTTGAATAGTACTCAGCATTGTTACGCCTGTCCCGATCTATGACGTTCTTGACTTCCTTAATTGACGCCGCAGTCAACGTTGACTTTCTCCCACGACCCTTGTCGTCTTCAATGTCCTCCCGGCCGTCTCGAAAACGCTTATGCCACTTGAAAACGAGTGATCGACAAACAGGAGGTCTTTTGCAGTCTCCAACATTTCTTGCGTCTGTGTTGGTGTCTTCCCAAGATTAACACAAAACTTGATGATAGTCCGATGTTCCGCGTAATCCGTGGACGTCATTTTTTGTTAATTATCCAAGAGCAACGGCTGTCAGTTGTCCGCTGGTAAACAATAACGGAAACAGCTATGACGTCAAAATTTCAAACGAACGTTCATATGACGTCACTGTATATGCTTACGACGTCGCGCCATTTTTTACGTATACATACGCAAGATATACGAAAGTAAAGACAACTTATTAATACAAAATATTGGGCTGCCCCGCCCTGCGCATACTGCGTTACTATAGCGACGTAAAATATAGAGAAGCAATGTTAGAAATTTAAAAATAATGGACATATTCATTAAGGATATGTTAAAGGTATTGTGTATAAATTTCCTAAAAAATGCATTAAAAAATAAACAAGTTATAGCAAAAGTCCACGTAATTCTGGGACACCCCTCGTATATACCATATTTCACGAACAACGAAAAAATAACCTTTTTATTTAATTTCATTATCAAAGAAAATGGTAAAGAAACCCCTTGCTTGCTACCAACTGTAATTGTACAGCGCGCAGTAATTTATGCGTTAGCACGCGCTGTTTGGCGCTACATTGTGACGTCATGTAAACAACTCTTTAAACGTCTGTACAGTGTTAATTACTGCATAAAAGATATTGGTGTTCGAATTAATTTTCTTAGTTAGATCATTTTCTATCATTCTAGATAGTTTTCAAAACAAAATTCAAGAAAAAGTTGTTTTGTATGTATCAGATTTTTCAAACAAAATGGCGAAAGAAGTCCCTTGAAATAAATATGAGTTTTGACTCCGCCCACTTTCATATTTATATCTCATATTTATTTTTAAAAAATATGAAATATATTTGACTGATATAGCACCATATTTCATGGGTAAAATTAAATAATAATTCGTAATTACAAATTTTAATTAGTTTTTTACGAAATATTAATTCGTAATTACGAAATATTAATTTGTTTTTACGAAATTCTATTTCCTTTTTATGAAATATTATTTCGTAATTAATAAATAATAATTCGTAAAAACGAAATGTTATTTCGTAATTACGAAATAATAATTCGTAAATACGAAATAATAGTTCGTAAAAAACGAATTAAATTTTTTTCTTTGGTTTCAAAGAGTGTTGGTAAATATTTATAAACTAACTAACTTCCTGACTAAAAATAAGACATGTAAATGCAATATAAATAGTGATTTTTTTCTCCCAAAGTTTAATAACTTAATGCCCCGGCCACATATTCACGGAAAATGCCACAGAAGGGCTACGGTCTAATCGTTCGCGGATTGCTACGGAAATGTAAAATTCCGTAGTCGGTGTCGGCCTGGTGAATTTTCATATTCTTTATTCTATAGTAAATCAGTCACATTTGAGGCTTAATTCTGGATTCCACTGTTCTTGATGAATTATATACTGTCTTCAACTTTAAACATTAACACTATCTAAGTCAAATGAGGTCCAAAATATAATAGGTTAGTCATCTACTCTTTTCAGTAATCTTCATTCTGTTTTAACACTGTTTAATTTCACCACTTTGAAAACGCCTGACCGCTGGTGGGTAGTACATTTTAACCCTTCCGCCAACAAATTAGTTC